GCCTCAGATAGTATATTATGCAATTTTCAGTGCAGATGGAGAACGAGGGAGGAAAATCGGAGAGTGTCGTCTCAGGGCGATGCACCGAGAAGATGTCGCATGCTAAAGAGGGATTGAAAGAGACCGAGAGAAGCTGTGCGGTGGGGGGGGGAGGAGGTACTTGCGGAGGAGCCGAGCGGCGGAATGTCGCGATTTCACTTTACGAGATTGGACTGAACACTCGCCGGCCGGCATCGCCAAAATAGAGGCGTGCACCTGTCCCGCTAGAAAAGGAAGAAGTTCGCATCTTCTAGATACGTCTCCTCTTGCTCTTCGTATCCCTCTATTCCTTTTTCACCTCTTCCTTTTCGTCCTCGCTCTCCCTTCCCCCCTCCCCCTCCCTCTCCCGCCCTGCTTCTCCCGTTCACCCTCAAAATTTCCCTCGCGCACTTTTCCTCCCCTCGGTTTCGTTACGGAGATTCGTTCCTCGTCGTTCTCACCGCGTTCATTTCGTCACGCCTTTCTCTCCTTCAGCTTCTTGTGAACAGAACTTAGCGGTTCTTCCCTTCTTCGTGCGTGACGCCTCTCTCTTCTGCTCTCCGCGTTGCTCTCTATCTTCTTCCCTACGCACGTTGTTTGGCCATGCATGCCGTAACGCTATTTCCGTCGACGCACGTTGCAAACGCAGTAAGTCGCTTAACGCACGACGGACATCGGGCATGAAGCGTCTGATGTTGAACTTTCAATAAAATGGAGAAAGTACCGAGACACCTGGAAGTTACATCAATTCACTTAACATCTAATAACAGTTTTCTATTGTTCTCTTTTTTTATATGTTAAATGTCATTTTTTGCCAAGATAAATCATCATATCGTACTCTTGAATTTGATTACACGCTTATTAAAATGTAGAAGAAGATTTCTCTTTAATTTAGTTTTATTTTTGATTCTGTTAAATCTGATTCAAATCATCAAGAAATCGACATGTTAATGTTAATATATTTAAGTGAGACGTGCTGCCTTTTTCATAGTTTGATTGATTTCTTTTTTACATTAGTAACATAGTAAAAGTGTTTGCATGCCACAGCGTTACAACGCGGTGCCATTGTCGAACTTAAAGTGCAAAGATCTGAGAGGGTTTTAGCGGATTATATATAGATCGGCACGTGTTTTAAGAATGGACCTCGACGAGACCTGCGTGATCCCGATAATGCAAAGAGGATTTTTTTCTTTTGAAATCCGAGACGCCGCCGGTAATAAGCGTGGCGCTCGACAACAATTAGTCGACAGTTTTATTGGCCGGCGGTGTAAAATCGGTCGTCTAAGTGAAATCCCGGGAATTAAAAGCGGGGTGTAGCTTAATATAAATTGTTTGTTCTCTCCCGCGTTGTGTCCCGCCCGGTCGAATCGCAAAGGGCGCTTTTTAACCCGTAATTTGAAACGACCTCACATAATTGAAACTTAAGGTCACTCACAAATTGGCAAGAGTCAAAGGGCAACTGGTGCTTATAAGCGCATTGCGGCATATGCAACGGAAGATATTCTATTAAATATTATACTAAAAGAAGATTATTGCAATTTTAATTATAAGTTTAATCCCGAATTTTTTATCAAATTTTTATCACAAGCGTTTTGAAGTTAATCTCGAAATTAGGAGAAATTGATTATATTACTGAAAAATTCTGTCATAATTAAATTGGAGACTTTTACGGCTCAATGTGAAAACTCT